TTGATCCATCTGGAGTTTGTTTTTGTGTGTGGTGTGAGGTACAGATCTTGTTTCATTTTTCTGCAAATGGATCTCCAGTTTTGCCAGCACCATTTATTACACCTCAACTACTCTTACACCTCAACATAAAACCAAAATCCTCACAACTGGGCCAATAAGTAATATGATGATAAATGGAGAAAGGATTGAAGTTGTCAAGGATTTCATTTTACTTGCATCCTGCCAAAGGGGCGGGGAGGCCACATCATTTGACCGCTTCTAACCACACAGGAGGAAGACAGAATCATCATCAGTAGCCCAAAGCCTATCCCTGCGAGGCCAGACATACTGCTTCCCTCCAGCCCTTTCATCAACGCTGATACCAACTGTTCCTCCCACAGTACCCACCACCTCTCTGCTGGGTTCAGTAATTCACTGCATTGGCCACACAGAACTCACAGATTATGGGGTTTATTAGCGAAGCAATAGGCTACAATGAAAAGTTCAGGAACACGCTCAGTCTCTCAGCCGACAGTCTCTCTCAGTCTCTCTTCCAGAAGTGCATGTTTTTCGATGTCTCTCTCCCAGCAGTGTGTGTCTCTTGCATCTCTCTCAGCAGTGTGTGTCTCTCGCATCTCCCAGCTGGCAGTGAGAGATTCCTTCTGCCTGTAAAAGGGCTCCTTTTGAGCCTGGCAGAGTGACCAAACTAACCAATCCCAACGTCAGAATTCTATACACCTGAGAATGAGTGAACTTCCCAAAGAATTGCTTTGTGCTGCTCCCAACAGAAATACCCTAGGTGGATAACTTTAACAACCAGGAGCTACTCAATTACTCATGGCAAATTCCATCATGGAGTTTACAAAGACTTTTGGCTAGAAAAGCCATACTATGTAATTTACTACAACGCACAACCATAATCAACACCCACTGAAACAGCACTCATGAAATGAAATGACATACTGCACTGGGTAAAGCTGCTGCAGAAGAACTTTTTAAAGTGTTTGCAGAGCAAAAATGTCACTTGGAAGACTAAAGTATGCCTGATTTAAGCTGTGGTATTTTCATTAGCCTCATATGCATGTGAGAGCTGGACAATAAATGAATAAGAAAGCCTACAGAAGAATTGATGCATTTGAATTGTGGTGTGGTGAAGAATATTGAATGTAACATGGACTGGTAGAAGAATGAACAAACCAGTCCTGGAGGAAGTACAGCTGGAATGCTCCTTAGAAGTAAGGATGGTGAGAATTCAACTCTTGTGCTTTTGGACATTTATCAGGAGAGATCAATCCCTAGAGAAGGACATCATGCTTGGTAAAATAGATGGTCAGTGAAACAGAGGAAGACCCTCAATGAGATGGATTGGTGTAGTGGCTGCAGCAGTGAGCTCAATCATAGTAGTAATTGTGAAGATGGCATAGGACTGGGCAGTTTTCGTTCTCTTGTATGTGAGGTTTCTGTGAGTTGAAACCAACTTGACAGCACCTAACAACAACAGTATTACTCTCTAGTGATGAATTCATTTCTCAGATTATGTTTCAGTTTTGAATGACTGCTTTGCTTAAAATTTGGTCAAAATTTTTTACCCTTTGTACTTATATGCATAGATAGCATAACCTTATTTGTGATTCATTTATTAGTATGCTTTGGTGTACTAGATATATATTTTGATTGTGAGAAACTTACTTATAAATACATATGATGTGTTGGTTTCATTAATTCCATCGGTCCTTACAAGAAAAGATTCTGTGAAAGAAATCTGGATCATTGGTTCAGAATACCTTCTGCATTTCTCATGTACGAGAAAAGAGAAACTGCAAATCTTCTTTTTCCCTGTATGGCAAACTCTGAAGCATTGATAGAAAGGAAATGTAGAATCTTAAACCCTGCTTAGAAGAACAGCTGTAATAGAGCTGAGTTGTGACTTCTGAAACAGCTGCTGTATTCACCATGGTAGAAAAGAATAACTGAGTTGTTACTCATAAGCACTGTCATCTTGAGAGGGACATTACACCTGCCTGTGTGGCAAAGGTACAACTGCTTCTAAACAAAGTTTCACCAGAATCCACTAGCATGACATAAGAGATTGAAGAACTTATATAGGTGTAAATGTAGCTCTGGTTTTTTTTTTTTCTTGTTTTAGAGACTCTTCACAGTTTCAAAAATAAATAGGAAAAATTTCAAGGCCCTGCTTCAGATGGTACTAAAGAGAATATACATGGGATGTTAGATACATAAATGCAAAATTGGAGTCTCTCTGATTTATAGAAATTCTGTATTCATTACCTTAGTAAGATGGGAGAGCATATTGTTACATGAAAGTTTGTTGTTTGTTTTTGTATTAACTATATTGCTTCCATAGGATAAAATGGACCAATTACTACAGATGTTGCAAAGTACAGATCCCAGTGATGATCAACCAGATTTACCAGAGTTACTTCATCTAGAAGGTAAATCTCATTTTCTCTAATCCTGCAAATAAAAAATAGAAGTTATGTCTAGCATTCTGTTATAGACTGGTTTTATATTTAAATAAAATAGAGCACTCTAGTAGTGTAGTGCCTTAGGCACTTGACTGCTAACCAGAAGTCTGGCAGTTCAAACCCATCAGCCACTCCTGGGAAGGAAGGTTGGGCAATCTACTTCCATAGCGATACTGCCTTGGAAACCCTCTTGGTCGCTATGAGTCCGGTCCGACTCAATGGCACATAACAACACCACCACAAAGGAAAATGCAGAAACAAGTTACATTTCTCACTTTGCTTTGACAAGTTTCATTTTTATATTCACTTTAAACCTTGGTAGAATTTGAATTCTTAGACTCTTTTGTGCTATTTAGATATTTCATTCAACATTTTAGGGTCTTGTAATGGTATTTTTAGGAGTTTTGGTAGTGTAGTTGTCTAAGGCATTTGACTGCTAACCAGAAGGTTGGCGGTTCAAACCTACCAGCCACTCCTCGGAAGGAAGGTTGGGCGATCTACTTGCGTAAAGATACTGCCTCGGAAACCCGAGGAGGCGTCACTATGAGTGGGATCTGAGTTGATGGCAATGAGTTTGGTTTTGGTTTTAATGATATTTTTAGATTTTGAGATCAGTATTTTAGATTAAGTTGTCACCAGCTTACATTAAGAAAATCAATTTTAGGTCCTGTGGATTGAGATTAATTAATACAATTTTTATTACCCCAAATTAAAACATTTATTCCTTAAATTATATGAATGGTATCAAAGATTTGCTTTCTTTTGCTGTGTTTTCTTATACTCAATTCTTTTATCTCAGCAATGTGTCACCAGATGGGACCTCTCATTGATGAAAAGCTGGAAGACATTGATAGGTAAAAGAACATATGCTGCATGTATGTTGTGTATTTTCTTCCCTGAAGTTCTTTTTAAAGTGCATAGTGGTCTATACCTGCCTTTTTTTAAATTACTTTTTAAGCTATGCCAAAGTAACTATTTCTAGTTCACTTCTTTTCTGACTGTGCTTTGATTCATCATTCCTTAACTAATGTCTTCACCTTTGCTAACTTGGCATTACCAGTGCCCGTAGACGTCCCTTCTGCTAGTAACTAGGTAAACAGATATTTCAAGCTATAATGAATTATAATTAGCTAGAGTTTTCCCAGCACAGTAAAGAGATTTAAAGAGATTAGTATATTTTAGGGCTAAAATGCAGGATATTTTCAGTTACAAAGTTAATGTTTAATAACATTGGTGTTGTCACCTTTGCATATTTAATATGTCTTAGTATTTAGAACATTGTATCATATAAACAACAACCAACTTACATTGTAATGTTTCAGAAAACATTCGGAACTCTCAGAACTGAATGTAAAAGTGATGGAAGCACTTTCATTGTATACCAAGTTAATGAATGAAGATCCAATGTATTCCATGTATGCAAAATTACAGAATCAGCAATATTATATGCAGTCATCTGGTGTTTCTGGTTCTCAGGTAAGCTTTTAAAACCACATGTATGTCCTTTTATGTGTGAGATTATTTGGCATAACTTTTTATAGAATGTGAAACTTTCTAGAAGTAATGTTTAGAGTAAAAATAAAGTTGAAAAGAATTTACTTGACAAGAGTATTTATGGTTTTTTAGTGAGCTGTATTAATCAGAATTTTTTCCTCTCCTATACGTAAGAATACATGTAATGCTACATAGAGCCTTTTTTCCTCTGTTGACCTCGAGCAAGTATTTCAAGAACCCCATATCCACAAACTCAATAACTTCAGGTTATTGGACGTAATTAGCCAGACATTTTGCCCTACCTGTGCAGAGGGGCACAGGCAATATTCAGAATATTTTTTTGGTTGATCCATGCCCTACTGCCTTCTTTCTCTGAAACAGGGGTCAGAACCCTTGAGATGAGCACCTGCTCAGCAATCTTGATTACTAGTTTCTGCGAAAACAAAACTAAAGAACTTGGTCTTTAATTTGAAAAGTACAGTTAGGAGCTCTGGTTTGGATATGTTTATAATGATTACCTTTGGATTCTGATGTCTGGTATATCACATCATTTAAAGGAAGTGCTAGGATAATTGTTGTCCTTGTTTCCTGGTGCAAAAACGGCAAGGAGGCCACATATTCCGACCTCTTCTTATCCCACAAGAGGAAGACAGAGTCATCATCAATAACCCAAGGCCTATTCCTGCCAGCCCAGACATGCTGCCTCCCTCCAGCCCTTTCTCCAACTGTTCCTCCCTAAGCACCCACCACCTCTCTCCTGGGTTCGATAATTCGCTGCAGTGGCCACACAGAGCTCACAGATTATGGGGTTTATTAGGGAAGTACCACAGGCTACAATTCAAGTTCAGGAAAAATGCTCAGCCTCTCTCCCAGCCCACCATCCCTCAGCCAACAGTCTCTTTCCCAGCAGTGCTGGTCCCTCGGTGTCTGACTCAGCAATGCGTGTCTCTTGCGTCTCTTTCTGCAGCACGTCTTCCTCAACCAGCAGTCAGAGTTCTGCCTCTAGGAGGCCTCCTTTTGAGCTTGGCAGAGTGGTTTCCAGACCAACCAATCATAACAACAGAATTCTAAGCACCTGAGAGTGAGCCTCCCATAACACTGTGTTGTGCTACACCCAACAGAAATAACCCAGGTGGATAACATTTACAATCAGGAGCTCCTCAGTTGCTCATTCCACCACTGAGTTTACAACGACTTATGGGTAGAAAAGCCATACTAAGTAATTTACTACACTGTACCTGGTGATAGTGCTACTCTCTTGACCCATGGTAACCCAGGCAACAGAGTTCACTTTTTAAATGTGTGAAATGGAAAGAACTAATGAATACTGTAGAAAATTAGAATGTTTTATGTGTTTACTGTTTTGGATATTTTAAGATTTCAGTCTCTTTAGGTTTAAATATCTATATCTATATAATTTTTTGGGTAAGGGAATAGGCATACTATGGCCTGAGGGACAAATCCAGCCTATTTGCTGATGTTAGAAATAAATTTTATTGGAAAATAGTTACACTAATTCTGTAAACACATTGCTATGGCTGTTTTCTATATGGCTAAAGCTGAATACTTATGCTAGAGATCATATGGCCTACAAAGCCTAAAATAGTTACTTTCTGGCTGTTTACAAAACTAGTTTGCTGATTGCAACTTTAGAAAGTTCATTTGCTTCAAACTGTAATTTAGGAAATGTAAATTTTATCCATAGGTAAATGTAGCCCATTGATAGGAAACAGTGGATGCAAAACACTTTGTAACTATCCTTTAAGATTTCTTTTAAGGAGGTACTTAAAATCAACCTAGAGATTTTTTTTAAAGTTTTGAGAGAAGTGCCTTTTCCACTTCCGTGTGTAGATATACGTGAGTTTAGCTAAATTTACCTAAGGAAAAAAAGTTATCAGAGGCCCACTTCACTGGAGAGTGTAATGTCAACAGAAGTGATTTTTAAAAAACTTACAATTCCAGAGATGTAATTGTTGTTCTCTTTTAAATTGAATATCTCTACAAAGAAAGTTTGGTATTACTGTTAAAATTGTAGCAGCATTGGCTTTTAAGAAAATAAACTATTTCTTCTCTAATATATTTTACCATTAACTGTTCTAGGTGTATCCAGGGCCTCCTCAAAGTGGTGCTTATCTGGTTGCAGGGAATGCACAGATGAGCCATCTCCAGAGCTACAGTCTTCCCCCAGAGCAACTGTCTTCTCTCAGCCAAGGAGCGGTTCCACCACCTGCAAACCCAGCCCTTTCTAGTCAGCAGGCCCAGACTTCTTATCCTAAGTAATATGATTATTGACTATTATTTAGAGTTAGTGATGTTGAAACTCTGATGTGCTCCCTGATCACCTGTAACTGTAAGAACAGGATAAGAAAGAACAGTGGTAGATGCCAGATGGTCAGTCCTATTTGTGATGATGAGTGGGGTCTACAGGAACTCCTGTGGTATTTCACTACTAGCCAATAAACCACTCCTCTGTTTTACTGACTCAATGAGCAGTTCTCTTGATTTTAGCTCCATAGTTTATATATTCCTATTGTAAGTTTTGTGGTTTTGCTTTTATTTGAATTTATGGTGATATTTGATAAAGACATTAATGAAACTTAAGTATCAGAATTTTTTGTTGTTGTTTAAGAATTTATACTTCTAGGCTATTTCTTCAAGACAAATATATCCTTGTTTTTGCCCTATGTTGGAATTTAGTTTATATTACAGGAAGGTGCTCCAGTAGAAAAGAGAAGGTACAGGCAGCTACATTTCCGTGTGGTTCATGAGGCAGATTTTGTTTTTGTTGTTTATAGTGTTCCCTATCATGTAGTTTAAAGGAGCTTGTTGGTGCAGTGGTTAAGCGCTTGTCTGCTAATTGAAAGGTTGGTGGTACAAACTCACCAGCTGCTCCATAGGAGAAAAAATATGGCAGTGTGCTTCTGGAAAGATTTTAGCCTTGGAAACCTTATGCAGCAATTCTGCTCTGTCCCGTAGGGTCATTATGCGTCAGAATCAGCTCAACAGCAACCAGTTTGGTTTTGGTTTTATCATGTAGTTAAATGCATGTTAGTTATATAAGTACCTTTTCTGCTTCATAGGACTCTAAACTGAAGTCTTTTTATTGAGGCAAAATAGGATAGGTTTTAAGAATTCACTAGCATGTATTCTAGAAGTTAGGATCCTCTGCTTTACAACAGAAGTTTCTAGATGGTACAGAAAAAATTTCTAGAACCTTTCCTTTGGTGTTGGAGTTGCCCAGAAATGCTCCTACACTTCCTTCACTGCTGTATTATTCATCCTCAAGAGTCACACTTTGGGGAAAAAAAAAAAAAGAGTCACACTTTGGAGATGGCTGGGGATTTTTAGGCATTATTCTGTTACTACATCTAGTATTCTGAAGTGATCTTAAGAAGGAGGTTAATGGAGAGGCCTATTGTAGCATCAAGAAACAGAGACCTCCCTACTAGGTGATGTGGCTCATGAAGAAATGGTAGGTGTAACTTTCTCTGTCCCAGAACTTTTTTTTCTTAAAGTTGAAATCTGGTAAAAATGAATACTCTTACGGAAAGTAAGCAAGCAGGTAAGGAGAAGCCCTGTACCACTGACTGCAGAAGTACAGAGAAATACCCAGAGTACAGCAACAGGGTTGTTGTTGTTGTTGTTGTTGTTGTTGTTGTTATGTGCCGTCAAGTCAGCCCTGACTCATAGCGACCCCTCCTTGGGTTTCCAAGGCAGT